CAGCTAGCTGCACCCGCTAAATTTTACTCTTTTAGCTAGCTGCAGTCAATGGAGAAGCGGGCGCTTCTTCAGCAAGTGCAGCTAGCTTATTTCTTATGAAATTTCATGCTTGGGCTATTCCATTAGAGCAAAGAACGTTGCTCAAATTTTTATGTTCTAAGATGAAGTTACTTCTAGAGGAAAAACTCTTTTTCTGGATATTCAGGTGGCGCAAACTCAAACCAGGCATCTTCTTCAAGTTCAAATGGAGGGAGCAGCGAGGTGGTCATCACTTCAAGACTCACTTCAAGTGGTATCATCACCAAAGAGACAACCAGTACTAAATCAACTGGAAGAAGCGGTACGTCACCGGAACCTCATATAGGACTCAGTACTACTACTGCGTCTGCTGGAAAACAGACTGCTAATCAAACCGAGACAACTGCGAAGCAGGACACGGTGGTTATTACAACGGCAAATGCTGGTATGTGTATATCTTGAGATGATGCGGCGCTGATCTTCTATCTGAAAGCGCGATGCTGTCTAACTCACCAACATAACTTGATCCTATGTCACCAATAAGCATCGGTAAAAAACGGTTCACGCACCAGCTGTGTCCTCTTTGAGAGCGGAATACACTAGCTACAAGGTGGCACATCCATGATAGGGGTCAGACATTAATTTTGTATGACACTAGCCTTTCGGTCAAGAGAATATAAAATCAGCTTATCTCTATTCATTTGATATCAAGTACGACTTCGAGTATAAGATGTTTTTTGATAGATCGTTTTGTTTCCGTTTGGTGACTTAGCTTTTATATTCAGTCTCAAGTAACTGACGACGTATCGTACCATACTTGGATGAAGTGAACACCTATTCTCCAAGCAAAAGTCAGTGTGACGATAATCTGACATAATCGAGTCTTGACTCGCAGATCAAGAAACATGTATTTCATTAGTGTGCTATTAGAAATCTTTATAGTTGATACCATCGAACAAGGTTTTATTCAACCTCACTTTACAATTGCTCTAATTTAAGGAACAATGTCAACGTCGACAGTTCAAACCAGCCCTCTTGCCACCTCAATCTCAATTTCTGAAGGTACATTCGACAGCTTTTCTCCATTATTCTCTACAGGTGTCGTATGCGTTCATGGCAATTTTCAGATTCTTCATGGTGCATTATCTGTATCCTATAAGTTTGAGCTGAAACGAACTTCTAGTTTGTCTGTTATTCGAATTTCAGTTTTATGTTAAACCAGCGCCGTTTTTTTGAGTTTGTGATCTGCGCCGCTAAATATTTTGAAAAAGGTTTTTCGGCCTGGTCTGTGATCGAATTATCGAAAAGAAAGCAGATGTGAAGAATGCTGAAAGTGATAGGAGGTAGTCCGGTTAGAAACAGTCCTAAGAAACAGTTTTTTAGGCTAGTATTTCTAACCGTTGTTTTTGTAAGAGATTGTTGTGGGTACGAATTTGTAGGTGACGAAAAAATATTCGGAATTGAAATAGTCGTATGCAAGTTTGTAGATGGTTTAGTAATAGTAATATTCAAGGTCTGTCGAAATTTCAAGATAGTAACTTGTCCAATATAAGAAGACTCGCTTTCGCATGGTATATACTTCCAACTTTTTCCTGTTTCTTTAAGGGACGACGACGCAGCCGATACTCCCAACAACATTCTCATCCGGTGGAAAAGTTGCTCGATCCCTGGATGTTTCTCCGCTAGACAGCAATGTACCACATATATTACTTGTTACAGAAAGCATAATAAACACCCAGTTTCCATGTAATATACGACTCCTTGATATTGGCAGAAGTTTATGTTCACAAGGGTATAAAGTAAGCATATCCGATACGGAGTCAAATATTTCAGTGTCGTTTAAACAACAACATAATTTATCCAATATAAGTATAATAAATCATCAAGACATTCCTTCAATATTACAAATGAGACGCAAAGATAGTCTAGAACCAGAAATAACAGTGGTAATGGAATATTTATGGTTCTGGTCTTATTTAAGTGTACCGGAAAAACTTTCAAGTTCGATACGTAGTTTGTCACCGAAAACAAAAATTGTTATATTAACAGATGATTTACATTATATTAGACAAAAATTAATCAATAATGAAATGTATGATCATCTAACACAAGCAATATATTCAGATGCCAAAGACTACGAATATGCAATTCAGAAACGTGAATTAAGTGTATATGCCAATGCTGATCATGTTATAGGTGTAACGGAATATGATACTGGTGTACTTTCTAGCATGTTGGTTCCGCTGAATGTGCCTGTTAGTTTAGTTCGTTTTAGGCATAATTTGACAAAGGAAACATTGTCTAGTTTTAACAGTTTGCCAACATATTCAAATCGAAAAGGAATCTGTTTTCTTGGAAACGGAAATAATCCAACAAATCAAATTGCGTTAAATTTCTTTTTCAAACAAGTTTACCCACTTGTTTTTCGACAAACGACACCGACCATGAGTATGATGAACATAACATTTCATTTGGTTGGTACGGTACCTCAAGATCGATATGCTTCGTTTATGGAACAGATGACAGCAGATGAGAAAAAAACAATTGATATCATTCCATTTCTGAACCAAAACGATCTCGTTAAGTTACTTCAACGTTGTCGAGTCATGATTGCACCAATCCGCGCAACCACAGGCGTCAATACAAAAATTATTTATGGCCTTATGGCTGGAATTCCAGTTGTTACAACGAACATTGGTGCACGCGGAATAGATATTGATGAGAAACCAGCTTCGTTAGCAATTGCACCCGAAGATACTGCGCAAAGCTATGCTGACACATTGATACGTACTTATAGCGATGCTCAATATTGGACAAATTTGCTGCAAAACAGTTTAAGAGCTGCATCAATTTTCGAAAATACAAGAAATTTCGAAAAAGATTTAAATCATGTTCTACAACAATTGTCCATATAGGGAAAATCGCCTATCAATCGATAAAACCAATCTACAAATTTTACTTTGCAGAGACAAATGGTTTAGTTTTTCCCTCAATATTCTATTAATCGTATGAAGAACAATTGATACGAAAAAGTAAAACTTATCTTTTATATTTGTACGTTAGAGCTTGATGTAAATTTATTAGATACTTTTCGCAGCCTTGTGAGCTGAAAACATGACTGTTGCTCTAAAACTATTTTAATGGTTTTTTATTTTCTATGCTAATAAATATCGACATATATAGTGTGGGCACCAAAACTGGGAGCAGTTCATGATTTTGGGTTCTAGTCGAACTGGTCAATTTCCAAAAAAGCTCTAGGCCGAACCGGAACCGAAAAGAGAGAAAATTCCTTTCTCCTCGTAGGCGCGATTATCACTTTTTTGGAACTGAATAAACTTTCGCACCAGCACATGAACTATATTCAAATGACAAATGAGTGTACACAAGTTTCTGTATAAATAACATCTCTCTTTATAGCTCTTTGTTTATGCTCTGCATTTTCTGATGCTGAATTAGACCGCTGAAAGCTTAAGAACGAAGATGAAAAGTAAATATTAAAAATACACTATATAAAAGGTGACCCAGCAGTACTGTCTCATTCAAAACCTTCTCAATATCTCGGTCAAGATTGATCGACAAGTCTCAGTCTTTTTTCAAACGAAACCTAATTCAATACTCTACACAAAATATAGTGAACATTTCTTTATGGGTAGTGCTATTGCCACTCTCTGAGAGTGTCAACGAGAGTAAGTTCCGGCACGCTTTACGAATTTCTTAACACTGGATTACTTTCGAAAACAAACAAGCTTGAGATCGACGTGCTGAAACGTTATTGACTAGTCAACAGAAAACGGCTTGTGAAGCAAACTATAACTTTCATTCTCTTTTTATTTTGATTTCATTCTAGTGAAAACAATTGCAGCTGGTTTTCCTAAAGCAAATTAAACTTTATTTTCACATTAGAATGGTAGTCTTGATCTTTTTGTTCTTCTTTTTATTTCTTTTTGATCAATAGTTGTGACTATTCTAGTCAAAAAATAAAAAAGTTGTGTATGCTCTATATTTCTTGCAGAAATCATAATTGTGTAGAATATCGTTAAGTCACATATGAAAAACGAAGCCATACATAGATGAATATAACTTACTTTTGCAAAAACTTATTATCAACAATTTTCTATACCATCTAAAGACCGCTTGTGTAAATTTCTACACACACCAACATATTGCACTTTTTGAGCGATAGTCTCACAATCAGTTGTGCCTTAGGGAAAACATTCTTAGAATTTAAATGCAAAGAAATTCATAAAGCGTACCGGAACTTACACTCATAAGTTAAAATACGACAACTCCTTTTAACACTCTCAGAGAGTGGCAATAGCCATTTCGTTTCTTTATATCCGCCCCGTCAAAATAAACGGAAAAGCTTGTTTTTCATCGTCCTCCATGACCATGCATTCTTTCGATCTCATATTTCTACCACTGATAGACCATGCTCGATTCTACATGTGAACAAAGTTTCAGCTATATAGCTCAAGAATTGACCGAGAACCGTTCCAATCAATCTCAGGTACTCAGAGATGGTTGCGGGAAATAGGTCAGTCGCCTGACGAGCGGCATTCACACATGCTGACATCTTGGGCAATGTTCACAAAGTGTGTGGACAGTGATTGGTACATCCTTGAATAATTATCCTATGTCAGAGTTACTATCGCGAGGAAAAAGCACCCATATAACTGAATAAAGAAAGACTCATGAAAAAATTATTTAACCAGGCGTGGGCTATCTTCGTATGGCTTCATGTCGTTCTGTCATGGATGAAGAAATGGTTGCGGATACGTCGAATATGAGAACCCAACGCAGATTCGACATGTTCCAAATACGTGGACGTGTTCGTCCGACCTCTTATCGGTACCAAATTAGACCGACCATTGTACCGAACTGCTCCAAAAACAGTAACACGAAACTTCACTTGACTCAAGAATGTCTTCGGTCTGGCACGTCCGATCGAGACCCAATAAACTTTTCCACGTTGATCGATCTCGAACTTCTTTTCGTCCTTAAAAATGACGTCATGCCAATCGTCGAACAAATGTGTGACAGAAAACTGGAATCGACGAGCGGCCTGAGCTGAATTAATTGTCCAATGCGTTTTTGAATGAACGGGATGATAATTTTCTTGGCGACGAGTTCGACGAATCGTTCGATCACTTTAACCCTTTGGTGACGGGGCCCGTATATATACGGGCAGTACATAAAACCTTCGTTACTTCACTTATTTTGCCCCTTTCTCACTTCCCATATATTTTCTAGCAAAAATAATAATATATTTGAGATCGGCAGACAAAACTGGGTCGAATAGCATACTTAAAACTCGGTTTTCAATCAAAACAATTTCATTTGAAAATTTTCTCTCTAGGTTAGAGGTGAGTGTGTA